GAGCGGGGGGGGCTGGGAGCCAGGACTCCTGGGTTCTCTCCCCGGCTCTGGGAGGGGAGTGGGGGGTTGGTGGGTTACAGCACGGGGGCTGGGAGTCAGGACTCCTGGGTTCTCTCCCCGGCTCTGGGAGAGGAGTGGGGGCTGGTGGGTTAGAACTGGAAGCCAGGACTCCTGGGTTCAGTTCCCCCTTTGGTACTACCGTGCTGTGTGCACTGTGCTAAATCCCTCCCTGTCTGGGGCTCTGTGACGTGGGGCTGATGACCCACCTGTGTCTTGTCGTTTTAGGCTGTAACCTCCCGAGGGCAGAGCCTGTGGGTCTGGGCAACGCCCGGCACAACACGGCCCCGATCCCAGCTGGGGTCTGTGCAGCCCCTGGGCGGGGACTGGCTGGCTCACAGGGGCAGGGAATGGGACATGAGCCCTTTCCCATCCAGGGGCCTGGAGCCATTTGGTCACTTGGGCCTCATTCCTCTGCGGTAGAAAGCACAAATGATGTATCTGAGATTAGGCCAAGGGTCCTGGCCCCCAGCCCCCCCCCCCCGGCCTCTATCCATTAGATCCCACTCCCCTCCCAGAGCTGGGGAGAGAACCCAGGAGTCCTGGCTCCCAGCCCCCCCTGCTCATAGACACAAAGGCCAGAAGGGACCATTGTGATCATCTAGTCTGACCCCCTGCACATCGCAGGCCACAGAAACTCACCCACCCGCTCCTGTAACAGACCCCGAGCTCTGGCTGAGTCGCTGACACCCTTAAACCGTGGGTTAAAGACGTCAGGTGACAGAGACTCCACCATTGACACCAGTTTAAACCTGCTCGTGACCCATGTCCCACACTGCAGGGGAAAGCGACCCCACCCCCCACCCCGCCAGGGTCTCTGCTAATCTAACCCAGGGGAAATTCCTTCCTCATGTAGAACCAATGTGAATGAAATTGTTTTTAAGTTATCCACTGTACCATTGTAACTTCTGTTGCTACATTGTAACTTCTTTACACTTGCCATTTTGCCTACATTGTAACTTCTGTGCCATATTGTAATTCAAACCCCATTTTAAAACGCTTACTCCATTTTGTAAGGGCTTGCTGCAACCTTCATTTTTGCAAACCCTGCTGTAACCTTATTAGTCTAGTTAAGATGTGTGAATGAGGAATGTATGGGTGATAGAATCAACCTCCAGCACCAACCCGTCCTGATGAGATAAAGTTCAAATACCAACGGCTGAAGAACTAGACAACAGCCCTAACTCAAGCAAGAAGCATCCACCTTAAAAAGAAACAACAGAAGGAATCATAGAATCATAGAATATCAGAGTTGGAAGGGACCTCAAGAGGTCATCTAGTCCAACCCCCTGCTCAAAGCAGGACCAATTCCCAGCTAAATCATCCCAGCCAGGGCTTTGTCAAGCCGGGCCTTAAAAACCTCCAAGGAA